TCGGTGCGCGCGCAGGATGTCATCCATAAAAATAAAAAAGTGTGGCCTTAAGTTTGTTCATTAAGTTTAGCTTGCAGCGTTTGCCAATTGGTGGTCTGTGGAGAATGAGTTTTCAGTTCACAACTTTCTGAAGTTCTCTGTTCCCTTTTGTTTTCTCCAGGAGGTACCCAGTGTTGATCCAAGGAGAGACATCTGTTGGGAAGACCAGCCTGATCAACTGGCTGGCCCAGTCCTCGGGGAACCACTGTGTGAGAGTGAACAACCACGAACACACAGATATACAGGAGTACGTGGGCTGCTACACTGCAGATGAGATGGGGAAACTTGTCTTTAAAGAAGGTACACATTTAAAAGACCCAGCTTGTTTGCATTTTTCAAGGAAGATATTATATTGATCAAGGGTTTTATTGAAAGAACAAGAAGTTCATTGGCTCTGTAATTTTGAAATAAATTATGGTTAATCTTGATTATTGAACTATGAATTTATGCAGGTATAGAAAATGATGGACATTTTCCGTGTTATATTTCAGGTGTGCTTGTGGACGCCATGAGGAAGGGACATTGGATTATCTTGGATGAGTTGAATTTAGCACCCAGTGATGTATTGGAGGCTTTGAACAGGGTTTGTGCATGAGATATCATTTTATGTAATCTTGAATTTTTGATAAAAAAACTGCATTGGAATTGTATAGATTTTTAGGCAAAAAAATGCATTGGACTTGAATATGTTAATAAGTAATATAATTATTCTTATAGCTGCTCGATGACAATCGAGAACTGTTCATACCAGAGACCCAGGAAACCATCAAGGCACACCCCCGCTTCATGTTGTTTGCTACTCAGAATCCACCTGGACAATATGGTGGAAGGAAGGTAATGAGCAGATCAAGAATATATTTTGTAAATATGAGGTTGAAAATAACACATTTGCACACATAATATCACTATAGAGGAGTAAATTGTGTAACAATAAATTATGGCTATAGAATTTGGCTTATGCTAGTATCATTTGAAATACCTCCCGTTGAATATCAACACATCCTGTATTATGTATTACAAGAAAAAAAAATCCAATTGAAGTACTTTAATATTACAGGTCTTGTCAAGAGCATTCAGGAACAGGTTTGTGGAGCTTCACTTTGATGAGATTCCCAGAGATGAGTTGCAGACCATCCTTCACCAGCGATGCCTCATTCCTCTGTCTTACTGTAAGAAACTTGTGGCGGCCATGCTGGATCTTCAGGTAGAACACTTGCTGCAGTTGCTGATATGTCTAATAATGTTCTGAGCAAAATTTGAAAGCACATTTAGATTAAAAAACTAAAATTTCTGATTGATTGTGCTTTTTTTAAAGAAAAGATTGAAGTTTTAAGTTTAACTTATGCAACTTGTAAATGCCCAGGTCGGTCATTAAAAAGGAAGCAGATTTGAGTTTGTCAGTACATATTTATGTAGACAATGTTTAAAAACTGTCCTTGCTTCACTTTCAGACCAGAAGAAGAAGCACTGGGGTGTTTGCAGGAAAACAAGGCTACATCACTCTCAGAGATCTTTTCCGCTGGGCAGAAAGATATCACCACACTAACAAGTCAAATACAGGGAAATATTATGACTGGGATCAGCATTTAGCAGACCATGGTTAGTATCACATACACCTACTGGACTGTTTATTATATATTTTAGGAGAGTTTTTATAATATCTTGATTTTTGAGATATAATGGTTGATATTAAAAAGAAAAAATGCCTTTGAAGATAATTATTGTAAAATCTTCCATTTCATTTTGATAGGATACCTCCTACTGGCAGGACGGGTGAGAAAGCCAGAAGAGGCTGATGTCATACAGGAGGTCATACAGAAACACCTGAAAAGATCAGTTGATCCAGATAGACTTTTCACATTAGATGATTCCACCTCTCCAACCACCAGAGAACTCCTGTGCCAGTTCACTCGACAACCCCCTGAAGGGTTCAGACATATTGTGTGGACTTATGGTATGCGGAGGATGGCTGTGCTGGTAGGGACTGCACTACAGTTTGGGGAGCCTGTTCTTTTGGTGGGAGAAACTGGGTAAGAATGCAAGGACTTAGCTGGTATCGAGGTACTTGATTAGTTTGAAAATGACAGTCAAATTAGATTGTGAAATAGGGAAGGAGACTATTCCAGGGACTGAATAGTTGCTCTGAAATACTGTTAGATGGTGTGGATATGTAAAAATTAAAATTTAGANTTTATTTATTTATTTTTATTGTATTTGTCACACTTTCGATAAATTATTTGTTGGTGGTGTGTGAGCTGTTAATGTTAATTGCTAGTTTTGTTATCATGAATTAAAGATTTTATTTTGAATCATTACTGGTGTTGTTACATGTACCTGAAGGCTGGCCAAATGAATGATCGATGATTTTTAAAATGAGAAATATCAATATTATTCTTTCATAATAATGAATACAGTATTTTCAATTTGGCATTTTAAATGACCAGACTACTAAATATCGCTTCGATACTCCGACGTAGCAGCAACTTCTCGTTTTGTTCCATTATCCGATCAAGGCAGTGGTAAATGAGTGGACTATTCCATTTTTTAGCAATATTTGTGTTTAAAAGTAAAAGACCAACTAAATATGAATAACAACTGCTGTTATGTTCATTGATATTCGCAATATAAAGTGCATTTGCCGTTTTATTGTCTTTTATAGACCCCCTGCGCTACATATTGCCTTGCATCTTATCTAAAAAACTCTGACGCAACGTTATCTGCGCACTTCCGGTTTTGTTCCATAATCCGGGGTTTGAGAACAACACGAAGTTAACCATTATATTAGCGTTTTTCTCCAATAGTAACCCCAATCATATGGATTAAGCTTTACAAGATAGTAAATAAAGCTCTATCGTAGCTTCATGCAAAGTATTAGAGGTAAGTTTACTTTCATTTTTATACACAGACTGTGCAAAGCCGAAAAACGTCAAATATCGTTCCATAATCCGGGGTCGAGGTCTATATTTTAGTGCTTCTATTTGTAATTGAAAAATTTAATGACATGGTCTTATTTGTAGTTGTGGGAAGACCAGCATGTGCCAGCTGTATGCAGAGATGGCTAAGCAGAAGATGTTTGCAGTGAACTGCCACATGCACACTGAAAGTTCAGACTTCCTGGGAGGGTTGAGACCAGTCAGGCATGCTAACTCACAGGAGGTATATAGGCTGCAATAAAGAGATATTTTAACCAAAAAAAAAAAAAAATAGTAGATTTAACAATAAGATTAATGGTATGAGTTACTGGTAATGAAAATGTTTTAAAATAAATTTTTTCAGTGTTGACAGCTGTTCATCCAGGCCTTTATATCTTATGCTTGAAGTGGAAGTGGAAATAATCATGACTAACTTTGAATTCAAGGGCTGTACTGTTTTGTGTTAAAATTTTGCCATCAATGAGTTGTTCATTATTTGTTCATATATTTTTCAAAATTTATTCAGGGCTCAAGCGACTCAAAGAAATTATTTGATTGGGTAGATGGCCCCTTGGTTACGTCCATGAAAGAGGGAGCCATGTTTCTTGTGGATGAAATCTCCCTGGCAGATGACTCTGTGTTAGAGAGACTGAACAGTGTGTTGGAACCAGAACGTACCCTCTTACTGGCAGAGAAAGGGACAAGCACTGGCCCTGGAATGAAGGAGGAGGCAGATATTATTGTTGCACAGGAGAAATTTCGTCTGTTTGCCACAATGAACCCTGGAGGAGATTATGGGAAGAAAGAAGTAAGATTTATTTTACTTCATCTGTTGGTTGGTGTAGGATTAAGTGAAGGAAATTTTCCACTTCATCATTTATGCTTTAACTTGCTGCTTATCACCAAATTTTGTTTTAGTTTGAATTCTCCCCTTTGTACTTCTAGCTTTCACCAGCCTTGAGGAACCGTTTCACAGAAATCTGGTGTCCACAGACTACAGAGCGCCAGGACCTTGTCAGCATTATAGAACACAATCTAAAGTCTGGTATTCATCTGTGCAACCAGGAAGATGGCACCAGTGGAATAGGAAGAGCCATCATGGACTTTGTTGAATGGTTCATCAACAATGAGGCTGGAAAGCGGTAGGTTTCCTGAAGGATCGTTGGTCATAATTTTGAAAATGTTATTGGTTTCTTACCTGTTTCTATGCTTATGGATTCTTTATCTGTTTCTACACTAAAAATCTTTGGTATATTTTTTACAGACAAAGAATTACTCATTGCTTCATGGCTTCAGCCCACTTTCTCTCTATGCAAGTTAATGGAAGTAGCTGAACACTTTGTAGTCAGGTGATGTTCAAATTGATCATTAGAGTCTGGTTAACTTTTGAAAGAAGAAAAGTTGATTAATCATATTACATCTCAGCCACATCAAGATTTTCATGCTGTGGTTTTTCTTTTAGGAGCACAGTGAGCATCAGGGACATCCTTTCATGGGTTCACTTCATCAACACCTGTGCTAGGACAGTTGAAGCAGATGGCATGGAAACTGACAGCAATTGCAAACTTCTGGACCCCCCTGTGGCCTATATCCATGGTGCCTGCCTGGTATTTCTTGATGCTTTGGGATTCAGTGAGTTTGATTGTTATGCATTGTCTATTATGCAGTGGAGAAAATGCTCCACATTGTGTTAGCTATGATATAGTGTGTGAAAAAATATAAAAGAGATGTTACATGGTTTTTACAAAACTAATTTTTCATGACATTTCAGTTGGTCATCATGAAGAATCTTTTTTATCTTTCATATGCAACAGATTTTGTGAATTTTGATTTATTAAAACTGTGCTTGACACAACACCTTTACATATTTACATATACAGCACAGGGATTGGTGATTTCTGTTACTTTCAGGCAATACAAATGCAGCTAACATGGCATCAGCCAGTGCCAGCAGAACCCTATGTCTGCAGTACCTGTTGCAGCAAGTGGAGCAGATGACAGGGCAGAAAATAGATCCGGCCAAATTTGGTTTAGTTGAAACCCACAGCAAACACATAGATGTGACAAAAGCAGATTTGTTTGGGATTGAGCCATTCTATATTCCCAAAGGTAAATATATCCATTCTTTATATATTATTCCTCAGTGCAAGTCATACTTATTTCCCTTTCATATGAGAAAATGTCATCCAGATTAAATTGTCCATCAACAGTTTATTTTGATGTTTTGTAATTGCAGTTTGTGAATCATTGTTAAGATGTTTACCTTTTTTTTACAGTGCAATACATTTCTTTAAACATCATGTCCACCCTTCTTATGCCCATCATGTCAGATAGCATATTTTTAAGGCCTTATTTTTGCCATTTGTTCTTTCAATTAATACTTTATCTCTCGTCATGTAGGACCACTGAGGGTATCTTCCCTGAGTGACTACGCCATCCATGCACCAACCACTAGCACAAATGCACAGAGGTTGCTGAGAGCTCTGCAGCTGACACGGCCTGTCTTGCTAGAGGGTTCACCTGGTGTTGGCAAGACCAGCTTGGTAGCAGCTCTGGCTAGAGCTTCTGGGAATGAATTGGTCAGGATAAATCTGTCCGAGCAGACGGTAGGCACCAAGAACCTTAGAATAGAGAATTCGATTTAATGTCTTTGTTGTCCCCTTTATACTTTGACTTGAGCATTCATTTGACTGTTGCTCATTCCAGTACTTTGAATTCTTAAAAATAAAATTTAAAGGAATTATTAATTTGTTATGATTTAATGAGTTCTTTGATGAGTTCAAATCAGTGATAGCTATATACTATTAGTCAAACTATGACTTGCTTTGCATGGTAATGTTAACTAATATCCTCATGTGAAAAACAGGTGTTGATGCATTTAATGTCATGACATCTGAAATGGCAAAACAAAATGAAATAACAATATAATTAAACATGTGGATTGTGTTCCATAGGATGTTACAGACCTGTTTGGTGCAGATCTCCCTGTGGAAGGTGGGGAAGGTGGTCAGTTTGCCTGGAGAGATGGTCCACTCCTCAGAGCCCTCAAAGCTGGGCACTGGGTAGTACTAGATGAGGTGTGTGCTTAATATTTTACTTGATGGAAAAATCATAAAATGTCTTTGACTTAGCATACAGCTCTTTGTGTTAGCCTACCTTGCACTGATTACCACTGAATACACACACAAAAAAAAGCACAGATACCTACAAGTTTCTTTGATTATTTTTCTAGTCATTTGCACAAGTAGAATACACTACAAGATCATATATTAGGTAACTTTGCAACCACTTTTCATAATTTTTTTATTATTAATTTTTATTTTTTTATTCTTTGTTTAGTACTGCATTATTTTCAGTTCACATCTTCTGCCTTTCAGTTGAACCTTGCGTCTCAGTCTGTCCTTGAAGGCCTGAATGCCTGCCTAGATCACAGGGCGGAGGTGTACGTTCCTGAGCTGGGCATGACCTTCCATGTTCAGCACAACAAAACTCGCCTGTTTGCCTGCCAGAACCCCCTGAACCAAGGTGGGGGGAGGAAAGGGTTGCCCAAGTCATTCCTCAACAGGTTTACACAGGTAAGGCTTCTTGGTGTATATTTAAACCAAGATTGATACACACCAAATACAATTTGAGAATTAATCCATATGAAAAAGAAATAAGCAGTTGATATTCTGGAAAGAATGTGCTGCACTGCTAATGAGCATCTACAAAATAATATGACCTTTTGGGGTTCTGAACCAAAATTAAACTGAGGATAAAAATAACTTCTGGGCTTAGTCTAATATTTATGAAATGATGAGATTTTTCTGACTATCGGCTGATTTCAGAGTTTTTTGGAGCCAAAAATATCTTTGGCAGCCCCTGGATCCCACAACATATTTTTCCAATTTTTTCACTAAATGGCAGTCTCTTCCCTGTTTATGTTGTAGATATTAATGCTGGGAACCAATTTTAGCCATATGACTGCTAATAACTTGCCAAGTGTCCTGTTCAATAAACCCTCTTATTGCATTACACTTCTGCATTAATAACTGCAAAAGTATATGCAAAATGCTGTGCACGGAAATAGTTCATAATAACATGGATACCTGATATGTATTGTTGTGATGTAGTATGAGCAAATTAAATTTTCTCTCAGGCAATCCAATTATCAATGTTGGTACTGTGTTCATATTGCATGGAGAGGTTTTAGAGCTATTCATACCAGTTTTTTTAGACAACCTTGTAATGTATGTTTTATTGTTCATATTCATTTTCATTCTTTCTTTTGCAGGTGTATGTAGACCCTTTAGGTCTGAAAGATTTGTTGTTCATCACCAAATCAATGTTTGACATGTTTGATGAAGACCTACTTGTTAAGATGATTAAATTCAATTCTCAGGTAGAACGTGCTTTTTATTTTTCCAAACATTCTCCTTGTACAGAAAAAATCAAATTGCTACAAATTAAGAACATGTACAAACAATTTTATTTAATTAAGATGTTTTTTTAATACCAATAAATTTTTATACATGGAAAAAGAAACATTTTTATTGTACACTTTGTCAGGTTATTTCTACTGAAAACAAAATGCCATTTGCTAAAAAATCTGAATATAATTTCAGATGTATGAGCAGACAATGGTGCAGTGTGAATGGGGGCAGAGAGGCAGTCCTTGGGAGTTTAATCTCAGGGATGTGTTCCGCTGGTGTGATTTAATGATAGCCAACCAAGTAAGTATAAGGGCATTATTTTGGCAAGCATATATTTGTGCTGAAATGTTCTTTTTGAAATTAAATAGATTTAGCAATGTATAGTTCTTATCAGTGATTTGAAGTATTTAAAGTAAAGAAAGCTTTTGCTGGGGTATTTGCCAGAACTGAAATAATCATGTTTTTCCCCTTCAGTCTCCAGGCCACTGGGCTCCTGAAGAGTATGTGCACCTCATTTACAGCAGTAGAATGCGCACCAACCAGGACAAAGAGAAGGTAAAGTTTTAATTGGTTGGAGGGATCCTTGGTGAAATCCTTTTTTCTCCATAGAAGGAATTTGAAAAGTGCCAACTGACAAATGAGATGACTAATACATTTCATGTATATCTTACATTTTAAGAATTTATTAAGTTTCTGTTTAAAAAAAAAGTGAAGAAGAGAAAGACATTTTTAAGGAATATCTTTGCAAGAGTTGCTTGTGATGCTCTTAATTTCATTTCCAAAGAACACTTATTGGGAGCAGAAAGAATTGCTGTATGCCAGCCAAGATCAGCAAACATTATCAAATTAGTCTCTGTTGGAGCAGCCATATCTACCACAGAAAGAAGTTATCTAGTTATGCAGTAAACATTGCTCAAGGCTGTGATCAGCTTTTCAAACATGCTCTCCAAAGCTATTCAGAGACTTCTTAGAGAGTAGAAATGTTCTTAAGCATATTTGCCAACAGTTGTTCACAGACATGGTGCATGTGCTAAACAATGCAATAATTAGATTATATATTTTACTTTTAAAAACTTGCTCTGGCTAATTTAGAATTGATTCTCAATTTCTGAAGATCATAGAAATCTTGCATTCCTTTTCAAATATTTCGTTGTTTGGGGACTGTTCAATTTATTAGCAATTACTAAAAAATAAAATGGCTGACAAACATACAAAGAATTTGATCATAAAAAGTTTTGAGAAGAAGTATGTACTGATTTTTGTTAATTTGTTTTCAAACAGACTTTTTAAAAATTTAAATCAGTTAATTTGTCTTAAATACAAACTTTTGTCAAATTAGTACCTTAAACATTACATGTACCATAATACATATCACTACTTTGAGTTAGTTATGATAATTTAATTAAGGGACATTTGCCCTTTTGGACTTCAAGCTTCCTTAATTAACATTAATTGCAACAACAGCAACATTCATTGTAGATATACTTAGTTATTATTCAATTGAAATGTAGTTTGACAAAGATTTCTTCATTCTGACATTTGCATTTCATTCATCTAGTTTAGTTCTTAGCACTGAGTACCAAGAGTGGAACAAAATGATTCAAAATGATTATTTTTCCATTTTAGGTGCAAGCATTGTTTATAGATGTGTTTGGTGAACATTGTCAACCCTACACCAGCTCCAGGTTTTTCTGTATAACTCCTCATGTTTTGCAAGTAGGACACTCATTTCTGACAAGACAACAGCAGGTGACCAATTCTGCTGCAAATGACCAGACAAAGAGTGCACCAAAGGTACTTCACCACAGCCTGGGACCTCTGGAAGCACTCATGAAGTGTATTGAAATGAACTGGATGGCCGTGTTGGTATGTGGCAAATAAGAATAAGCTTTTAATGGGTTCTTTTTTAGGATAAATATTTTGTTAATATGAGAAACTTTGCAGTGTAGACATGTAAATTGGAATGCACTCTTAAAAAAGCCCTGTGTATTAAACTTAAGTTAGACTATAGTTTTTTAAAAACTTTTTCATATCAATTTACTTGAATAAATTGTAACCTAAAAAAAAGTCAGGCCCTGCTTCAAAATTTGATTGATGACCTTAAGATTCATGGGATGATTTTCTATCCCCCCCCCCCAAAAAAAAAAAAAAACTTTCTGGATCTGATATCTATGCTACAAATGCATGTTAAAGGACAATACACTGCAAAAATGAATCTAACCAATTACTAATATCCTGGAATCTGATGGAAAAATTAAGAACTATAAAGCGCATCCTCTTCATTTCAAGAAATATTTGAAAAATTCAAGAAATAAAAGTGATTGAAGGTTATTTTATGCATTTTAAGCAGTGTCAAGTCTGAACACGTGCTTTCTTTTTTCACTTGACTGAAAAATGCCCAAATCTTCCAGGTTGGCCCAGCATCTAGCGGTAAGACTAGTCTTGTGAAGCTCTTGGCTCAGCTCAGTGGACATAAGCTTCAAGTGATGGCTATGAACAGTGCAATGGACACCACAGAACTTCTTGGAGGGTTTGAGCAGGTAATATTAAATTTCCTGTATCTGTTTCAGAATACAAGACTGCTAATGTTTCCTTGAACAGTAAATGCTTGCATTTTTATTTGGAGTATTGATTTTTTTTCAAATGAAGGATATGTAAAAGACTGATTGGTTTGTTGTGAGGAATATTGAACAGTATGTGTGTGTGTGTG